GAGAGGCGGTTGTAGGGGACCATCATGGTCTGATTTTGCTCTTTGCCTAAGTGAGAAGATCTTGGGCAGATCTAACTAGCCATACATTTCCTTGATAAATCACTAGAGTTCTTCGACAATTTCTATTGGGAGCAAACCGGTGACAACCTCCTAAGTCAGGGAGTTTTCTATCCACGAACGAACTAACATGTTGCATCTGATCCAATGTTTGTGGAGATGAGGCTCCGCCGGTGGTGCTATGGTGTCATCTATAAAAACGTCTTTGTCTTTGGTGATGAGTGCCCGTCGAAAGTCGCGAGCCCATGTCGCATAGTTTTCTGCACCAATGAGGACTTGTTTAACCAGAACAAGTTCTGGTCTATCGGACGGTGAGGAGTATAGAGGATCGCCAGGCTTCGATTGGCGAGATTAGGGTTGCACAATCTGGAATTGGAAGGGAAACGAGTTTGGGTCAGTTTGGCCTGAAAACCCAAAAGAAATGTTGTTGGGTTGGACCTGGTTTGGTTGTCTTGGTTGGGTTGCATATTTGGTCTTGTTTAAGTGTTTGGCCTGGTTTGGTTGGTTTGGTATGGGTTAGTTTGGCTATTTGCTGAATCTGAGCCCATATTTGGTGTGTTGGGCCCAATTGGGTTTGTTATGGTTTTCTGGTTTGGATCCATTTGGTTTTGGGGAACTAATCCTAGAGTTTATTTTGCAGGGACAGGAGTTGGATTAGAGAAATGCAACAAGGAGAGGAGTTGGTTAGGAAACCCACTCTGATACCATGTAAGAATCTGGTATTAGAGTGGCACAAAGAGGTAGTAGAGTTACCAAAGAGTTCCAAGAAGAATAAGAGAGGCAAGAGAAGCAACCTTAGTTGCTAAGTATGCCGAGAGAATACAAGCAAGAAAAGATAGTTGAGTAATTTGTGTATATTGTATTTCATGTAAAGAGTGTTACAATTTATACAATTGTAAATGTAACATGTAAGGAAAGCAAATAAAAGGAATAAATGCAAATCAATACATACAAGGCAACAATATAATTCTAGCCAAGCTACCATACTTGGACAATATCAAATATCCCAAATCTTCTAAATATGGCATGTATAGTCATTCACGTGTCAATAGGGTTTGAAATTGGAAGATCAAATTCCTAGATTTTGATGTAGGTTTTGATTTAATCTTGTTTATGTGTGAGGTATGGATTAATTAGTTGTTTTTTAAAGTTGGGTTTGACAAATTTTGGTTAGTTATTGAGTTAATATTTAATGGGTTTAAAGAATTGATGAAACCCTAAGTTGTAGAGATTTGGGGATTTGGTTCAATTTTGATATATACGTTAATTGCTTGATACTTAGAGTTGGATTTGATGAGTTTTTATGGGTTTATAAGTTGAATTTTATTGGGTTAGCATAAATTGTTTGAAAAGTCTAAGTTATAAGATTTGGGGCTTCGGTTTAGAGTTAATATTTTGACCCCACTGACTAAAAATCCTGGCTACGTCCCTACATGAGAGCTTGTTGTTGAGTCTTGGCTATTGATAGCCTTGTGCAATATAGGGAAGAAAGTATCAAGTATTCAAACTTGGACAGTTAGATGAGAGGTTTTGGAGGATCTCCTGTTTGTATATGTTAAACTTCATATTAATGTGTGATCCTTATTTCATAGTTCAAGCTCTTGGGTTGAACACTTTATCAAAATGACACACATTATAGTCAAATCGATTATCTTAATTTATCAGCTCACCCTCAGCAGGAAAAAAAGTGGTACTAAACTAGATTAAATTGGATTAGATTGGATATGATTGGATAAAAAATAGTACTTATATACATATTCTACTTCGGACCATATTAAAGATTGATGATATTTTGTCATGAAAGTTGATTTTTTCTTTTTTTTTTTTTTTTTTTTTTTTTTTTTGGGCCTCCGCTAATCCCCCAAGGCCTAGAAGTTAACAACTAGGTAAACCTTCCAGTGACCACCCCTATTACCGAGAGGAATCGAACTCAAGACCTCTTGAGTAATACACCTCAAAGTCTCTGTCGCCCCACCCAGCCACCCAAGAGTGGTGAAAGTCAGATGTTAATGGATGGATTGATGATTAGTCTATTTTAATTTTAATTTATCAAAGATAGAGGATAATGTTAAAGAAAGTTAGGTTATGACAACAGTTGAATTCAAGCAATAAATTCGTAGACATATGTAGGACAACCCTTGTGAAGACATTCAATGCATGAATCAATTCTTTTTAATTTGAAATTCTTAAAAAAGGAAACAGAGTTCCAACATCAAAGTAAAGAGATGTCAAAATTATCACTCCCTCTTGGAGCATATTTTGTTTGGATTAACAATGAAATTCATCTTGTTATAGAACTTGATTCAATGAATCAGTACCATAGATTAACTATTCTTTGTACTAATTGTATTCTCGACTCAAATTTATAGTCTGTTCGTTTTCTATCTCATTTCAAATTTTTTCGTATTTTTTCATTGTAAGACATGAGATATCTATTCAAAAAAGTGAATTTGATTTAATAATATAAATATATTGCAAGTGTTAGAAGTTGAATTTGTCCCACATCGTCAAATTAGTAGACCGTTATGGTGTATATATATATATATGTAGTTGGACTCCCTTCTCCCGTAAACTGGTTTTTGTTTTTACTTGAAAGCCGGACCTTTCATCTCCATTCCCGTAAGCTAATGCAAAATCAATTTTATTTGTTCTTTGCAAAAAGATTCATATCGACTCAAAAGGAAACTAACCAAGAAAACTGAGTTAAAATTCTCTAAAGACATATTGATGATTATTATTTCTTTGTTTTTAATATAAAAATTTCAATCTATAGTGGTGAAAAAAGTTAAGTTATTAAAACCTTAATAGGCTGGCCTGACAGTCAAGGTTTGTTCCCTTCCTTGAGTTTTTAGGTTCAAACCTTAGGGCCACCTACCACAATAACATTGTAGCTTATTTGGTCATTTGGACTTGTAATGTGTTCAATAAATCTGAGAGATTAGTTGAAGTGCACATAAACTGGTCCAAACATTCTGGTTACCAAAAAATAAAAAGTTGGGTTGTAACATGTTATAGGACCACCACATGGAAAATAAGTGTTATTAATGAATAATAATACCTATATAGTCCAAAAACATTAATTGTGATTAATTGTCTGAATCTGTGAAATTGAAGCAGTGGTCCTATATTAAATATGTCGATTCACCTCTTCCTTGTGAAGCATATTTTTGTTTGGTTTCTAAAACCCATACGTGTCTAAGATCACCTTCTACTGCTTCATTCAATGATCGTATGAAAAACGAGCCAAAATTCTCTACAAATGTATTTTTCTAATTATAATTTATGAAGAATGGTGATAATGGAAGAAAGTTAGTTAGGTTACAACAGAAAATTCAAATTCAACTGATAAATTTGCTCTTATATATAGGACCACCAAAAGGAAATTCTTGGATGTTTATGCAAAAGACGAACCAGTGGTCCACAGTCAAGCAAATGTGAGTTCGAAGATTTTTTCTTATTATTCATATATAGTAGATATATATGATCTCGTTTTAGTAATTATTTAAATGAATTTATTTTTTTGTGCTACGAGATCGTGCAATGGGAAATATACATTCGAGATTAATAATGCAAGAATAAAGTCACATCGCATAAAAAGACACGATATTTACGTAGTTTGGTATAACCCGTCTACATTCACGAATGAGAGAAATCCTCTATAGCCAATACATAATTAACAGAGCTCAACCTAGTGCTTAGAGCGGAAACAATCTTACAATCCTAGTTTCTAAGACACTTTACATGTTTAACAACTCTTACATCTAATATATGTACTATTATATTCTCTCGTAACCTTGAATTGGTTCTCTAACCTTGAATTGATTATCACCACTATATTTATTGGTAGTATAGGAGACATTTTATTTCTAATAGGATTAATATTTCAATTTCTAATATGACTCAGAATTATATTCATATTCATAATCGTATTCTTAATTAAATAATTTTCTTAAAGACATACAATATTTTTAGAACAAATAGGAAAACGAGTCATAATATCCGAACATGTTATCCATCTACCAACGGTATATATACAAAGTGGTCACCTACCACATTTGTGACTTACCTGGTCTATTGGATTTGTAAGGTGTTCAATGAAACCTCGAGATTAGCTAAGGTGCATGTAAGCTGACCTGGACACCCCAGTTATAAAAAAAAATAATTAAAAAAAAAAGTTTGCTAAGTTATAACAAAAATTCAAATTGAATTGATAAATTTGTACATATATATAGGACAGCCAATCAAAATACATATAATCCAGAGACAATATTAACTCTAATTCTTGGAAGTTTATGCAAAAGACGAACCAGTGGTCCACCATCAAGCAAATGTCAATTCAGAGAAAAAAAAAATCTTATTTTTCATAGTAGATACATGTGATCTCGTTTTGGTTGTATTTATTTAAACAATAATAATATACTTATAAAGAAATATTATAAAAAATTTTATATAAAGTAAGGTAGCAAAAAATGAATGGAAGAGTAAAACAAAAAGTCAAACTCATTAAATTCACTCTTCTATTCATTTTTTGTCACATCACTTTGTGTAGAAATCTTTGTAAAAATTTTTTTTATGTGTAGTATTACTCTTATTTAAATGAATTTAATTTTGTTGTTCATCTACCAATGGTATGTTTATATTGAGGATAACGTATATATAATCGGAAAAGCACATGAAAATGAGAACTCTTTTTGCAATTTATATGAAACTTATAAATCAAATTCATGAAACAGAGACATCTTGAGAAAATAAAAATGGTGTCTTACTTGACTATTTACATGTGTAATCCTTCCTGGCTAGTAACCAAATGTAGAAATTAAACCACGTGATAATGGTGCAGAGATTTTTTTTTTTTTTTTTTTAAAGAAAAAAGATCTAACCGCAATACCACTGTAAATATGAGCAAGAGGGAAGGCTCAAAGCAAAGAAAACAACTGCAAGTGTGTAATTGTGGAGTTGTGTATTAAGTGATGGTAAGTCGAAGCAAGTTTGTTCTCTACTTAATTGTTACATTTTATGTAACCCTTTCTAGCGTGACGGAATGTTATGATATTAAAACTCATAAGCTCTTGTTTGTCTTTGGAGATTCACTCTTTGACACCGGCAACAATCCGCATCTTCCCGCAAATGAAGGTAGGTTTCCTACGGGGACTCTTTGGCCCTACGGGATGACCTTCTTTGACAAGCCCACTGGAAGAATCTCTGATGGCCGTCTACTCCCTGACTTCATTGGTATGTACATAAGGCTAGCTAGCTGGTTAGAAACTGACGCAGAATAAATAATTACTATTCTCAGAATTACTTTGGGAAGACATTAATGTAATAATAATATTCTAAAATATGAACTTGGTTACTGGCTGCAGCCACTGATGCAAAATTGAGACTACCAGTACCATACCTGGAGGAAGGAGGTGATTTTACTGATGGAATCAACTTTGCTTCGGCCGGGGCAGGTGTTCTTGGCGAGAGTGAGACGGCGGTAATCTCTTCTTCTTCTTCCTCCGTGTGCTTCATGTCAGCATATATATATTTAAATGTTTTTGTACATGTTTCAGATTAACCTTGGAGTACAATTACCATATTTCAAGACCGTCGTAAAACAATTGGAACAGATATTAGGCCACGAGGAAGCCAAAAGTCTTTTGCACAGATCGGTGCTCTTGTTCAGCATAGGAGGCAACGACTACATGAGGTTTAACATGAACAGAGATCCTACTCTTTCCGAGCAGGTTGAACTTGTAGGGCAGGTGATGGGTAATTATACAGCTGCACTTGAAGTAAGATATATCCTAACCCTTCAATAATATATATATATTACCTGTAACTTAATGTACATATAATTAGATATATTTTTGTGATTTTTGTAGGAATTTTATGCTCTCGGAGTAAGGAAAATTGGGTTCCAGAATGTTGGACCTTTGGGTTGCATGCCAAATGTCAAACAAAAAACCAATAATGTAGAGGTTGATTGTGTAGGTAGATTCATGAGCCAGGCAACATTGCACAACAGTTTCCTAGCTACTGTCCTGGAGCAATTTGAGCTTAAACACCCTGGTTTCAAATATGCATTATTTGATTACTACAATGCTCTTCGTGACAGAATTCTTCATCCCACAGAACATGGTAATTATCAATGCATCAATCAATCATTGTTTTTGATCGTACGTCTTTAATTAATTGGCAAGGTATTAAATTGATTATGGTTTTTTGTTGATCTTCCTTCAGGCTTCAAGGTAGGAAAAGTTGGATGCTGTGGCAGTGGAGTACTGAATGGAGAAAATTGCAGTAGTACTCAGGAACCTTTCAATTTATGCGAAGATGTGAATGAGTATGTGTTTTTTGATGGGGGTCATCATACTGATAGAGCCAACTTTCAACTAGCACAGCTGATGTGGACAGGACCAAAACATGTGATAGGACCTTATTACAATGTCGAGAAGTTGTTTAATCTCTAAATATATGTAGGCTCGGAGAGCTCTAATTAAATAAAGGAGATGCATGCATGTAATATGTCATGTTCCCAGAAAAATAAGGTGATTGGGATTTCGAGTCCATAGCCATAGGTCTAGGACTCATGTAAGAAAAGTTCTCTTGGGATATCTGATCTTGAGATTGTTGTTAATTTCTAGTTTTCATTACAGTAATTTCGAAAAAATCACTGTAATTTCGAAAAAATCACTGAGCAACATTTCAAATTTTTATTTATATTTATTTTCTGTCACGCTAATTTGTACACAAATCTTTGTAAAATTTATTCGTACATCTAGTATTATTATAATATATTAACAATAAATATGATAAGTCAGCAATTACATTGATGACGATAAATAATGGTACGTTTAATGTTTGTATCTCATAGACCACATAAAATGTTCAACATACCCACGTTGTTAACTTAACTTCACACAAATTAAACCTTGGATGAGTATATAGAGATAGAAGTACGAGAATATTGTGAGTCAAAAGTAGACAATATCTTATCCAAAACTTGTGATGTCGATCAAACATTAATTATTTTTCTTAAATAATTTACTTGAATGGCTCATGAATGAAACAATCTAGATTAATACGAAACTAAAAAAATAATAAACACACACAAACCACAAATATACTAAAGAGAAAGAAGAAATACACACGATTTATCTTGGTTCACCCAATTAATAGGTTACGTAATACTGACTCACCTTTTTCGTTTACAATAAATGTAATTTGTCCTATGATTTGCTATCACACTCGTACTAAGAGAAAACAATGTTTATATACTAACTTTAAAAGACTAAAACCTAATATTATAAGGATTTTTATTCCTAAGCCCCAACAAAATAATGAAATAATAACTTAGAGAAATCGTTCAGCGGCTCTTCATGAAAAAATTAAGCCCAAACCACCTACAGACCTGGGTTGCTGCCCTTTATTGTTAAAGTGGTCAATAACTCCAACAATGAGGACCTATTCCCATCTTAATATTGAAGATGAGGATAGATATATATTTCTCATTAGCCAAACACAAATATAGGGGAAATCAGTTATTTAAAAGTTTGGCCTTTGAACCATAACATAAAGATGATTCTTCAAATAATTTACAAAATAACCCAAATTCTTCTTATTTGCAAGAAACAAAAAACCTAACTCATCAAACAGTGCCGACCACTGGTTAAAGTGGCATGGCCCCCAAGCCCACGTTCAATATCCATAAGTCAAACTTTGCATCTTATATTCACACTCTCCACTCACCATTTTAAAAGCAACTGCCATGTGACCACCACCAAATATTGATTAATGGTACTTACTTGCAAACTACAACAGGATTCAATGGCAAGTCTGAGATTCCTTTGTTTTGGGATACTCTTATTTGCAAGTATTCTTCTTAATCCAATTAGTTGCCACGCTCAGTCAAAGCCAGGAGGTGCACGTTAACACATAAAGCCTTGTTTGTGTTTGGAGACTCCTTGTTTGATCCTGGCAACAACCAGTATCTAAATGACAGCAGAAAAGGAATTGCAACACCTTTCCTTATGGAGAAACCTACTTCAAACGCCCCACTGGAAGACTTTCTGATGGCCGCACAGTGCCTGATTTGATTGGTACAACGCATTAATAATGTTAGCTAGTCAATTGCTTCAATTACTTGATGTATCAATGAATTACTTTGAGTGAATTTTGATAGTTTATACTTCATTAAATTGTTGCAGCCCAGTTTGCCAATTTGCCTATACTTGCACCATACCTGCAACCGGGTGCTCATCAATTCACTGATGGGGCAAACTTTGCTTCTGCTGGAGCTGGAGTTCTTGATGAAACTCATCCTGGAACGGTATGCATCTTTGTTTTCTGTATTTTGTATAAAATTAAGGAATATATATAATCTGAACAGAAATTTAACCGATTTGTGTCTCTTTTTTGCAGATACGTCTGAGGTTGCAGCTAAGCTATTTTAAGGATGTGGCGAAATCACTGAAGCAAAAACTAGGTGAAGCAGAAGCCAATAGGGAGTTGAGGAATGCGGTTTATTTGTTTAGCATTGGAGGCAATGATTACTTCAGCTTTTCTCAGACGAACCCCAGAGCTTCTCAGTCCTCCAAGGGTCAATATGTTAAAACAGTCATTGGAAACTTAACATCTGTGCTCAAAGTAAGTCATTTGTCAGAGTTTTAAACTTAATTTTGTAATATTTAGATGATAACTAAGAGTTCATGTTGTAAATTTGTCTGCAGGAGATATATAATATAGGAGGGAGGAAAATTGCATTTCAAAATGCAGGGCCATTGGATTGCCTTCCAGGAATGAAATCTTTTGATCCTAAGCTTGGAAGTGCTTGCTCTGAGGAACCCTCATCACTAGCAAGACTACACAACAGATATCTGGCTGTTCTCCTTAAGAAGCTATCAACCCAGTTCCCAGGATTCAAATATGCAATATTTGATTACTACAGTGCACTTGGTGACAGAGTTGCTAAACCTTCAAAATATGGTAAGTTATGGCCTCAACTTTAATTAAAATGTAATTAATTTTTACATAATCTGTGTTGTAATTTGTTTTCGGGGTTTTATGTTGTGAAGGATTCAAAGAGGGGAAGGCTGCATGCTGTGGCAGTGGACCTTACAGAGGAATGAATTGTGGGAACACAATAAATGGAACTAAATCCTTCGAGTTATGCAGTAATCCTGGAGAATATGTTTGGTTTGATGGTGGACATACTACAGAAAGAGCTAACACTCAACTAGCTAAGCTGCTTTGGAATGGAGCCCCACCAGTCACAGGGCCTCGCAATATGAAACAACTTTTTAACCTTTGATTATTAGACTATCTTGTATGCTTATTCAGATTATGCAGTCTGATTAGTTTCAATAAAATTCTTCAGTAACTTGCTCTGGATTCAAATCAAATTTCCCTGATAAAACTTTGCCATCTATTATGCTAGCATATTACTAAGATGGCCTATCTTTATCCAAGTCGTTTTCACGAAGTCTGAAGTCAACCTAAGGCACATGAATAAATGTGAACATCCTGACAATGCTGTGAAACGCTTCTTCCAATCTCATCAATACGCGTGGGGTGGACTGTGGAGCTATTAATTGTTGTTGAAGTTGTAACATGAATCAGCACAATCTTCATTCAACAAATTATGTAAAAGTCTCAGTCTCAGATTAAACAAACCCCTGTTGACATGTTTATTTTCCCACTATAATCTTCAGTAGCTTTCCCTGGAATAAATCTTATTTTTCTCTTGTATTACTTCATTTCCTGCGTCATTCCCCGATAAACAGGCTGGATTCCACAGTGCTAGCTACCCAATTACTCTTCTTCTAAGCTTCCATAGTTTAAACTCCAAACACTTCTCATCTTTACACAAGTCGTTTTCTCTAGTTTTAACTCAAAATTTGCATCTAAGTAGTACAGATTTCTGATAAAGTTGTCTCCAAGAACAATTAATTCTTCCAAATAAACTGCCAAATCTACTAAATAAAACTCCGCATATAACTATAAAATGTAAGAATGTATATTACATAACATCAATGGAATGTGCCGCAGTGCTCTAAGAATAAAATAAGCAGCTGCTCTAATCTGAATACATGTATAAGATAATACAGTGATCAAAGACTGAATAACTGTTTCATATTGTAAGGCCCTGTGACCGGTGGTGCTCCATTCCAGAGCAGCTGAGCTAGCTGGGTATTAGTATTTTCTGTAGTATGTCCACCATCAAACCACACATATTCTTTAGGATCACTGCACACCTCAAAAGATTGTGTCCCATTTATTGTTTTCCCACAGTTCATTCCTCTGTAAGTCCCACTGCCACAGCATGCAGCCTTCCCCTCTTTGAATCCTTCACAAATTACAACACAGATTATGATTAAGGAATGTAAGAGGAAGTAGAAATGAAGTATACATGGTTGATGAAAGTTGAGGTCATTATAACTTACCATATTTTGAAGGGTAAGCAACTCTGTCACCAATTGCATTGTAGTAATCAAAGATGGAATATTTGAATCCTGGCAACTGGGTTGATAGCTTCTTCAGAACAACAGCCAGATATCTGTTGTGTAGTCTTGCAAGTGATGAGGGTGCTTCTGAACAAGCACTTCCAAGTGTTGGATCAAGTGATTTCATCATTGGTAGGCAACCCAGTTTCCCTGCATTTTGGAATGCAATTTTCCTTCCTCCCACATGATATATCTCCTGCAGTTGAATTAACAAAATAAAATTGGAACATGAACTCATGGTTATCATCTGATTAGAACAAAATTTAACTTTAAAACTGTGACAAATGTTACTTACCGTGAGAACAGATGTTAAGTTGCCAATAACTGATTTAACATATTGACCCTTGGAGGACTGAGAAGCTTTAGGGTTCATAGAGGAAAAGCTGAAGTAGTCATTGCCTCCAATGCTAAACAGATAAACAGCATTCCTCAACACCTTCTTGGCCTCTTTATCACCTAGTTTCTGTTTCAGTGACTTCTCCACATCCTTAAAGTAGCTAAGCTGCAACTTCAGATGTATCTGCCAAACAAAAGAACAACAATCAAACGACTGATTCCCACTATTAAGCCTAACTTTCCACCATGGAAAAACAAAGGCTTATACCGTTCCAGGATGAGTTGCATCGAGAACACCAGCTCCAGCAGAAGCAAAGTTAGTCCCATCAGTGAATTGATGAGCCCCCGGTCGCAAGTATGGTGGGAGTATAGGCAAATTGGCAAACTGGGCTGCATGCAACAAATTAATGAAGTACAAAGTGTGATAAAAATATATTCAGTTGCATATACTTGAAGTAATTTAAACAATTGACTAGCTAACATTATTAATGTGTTATACCAATCAAATCAGGCACTGTACGGCCATCAGAAAGTCTGCCAGTGGGGCGTTTGAAGTAAGTTTCTCCATAAGGCCAGGTTGTTGCAACCTCTTGTGTGGTTTCATTAAGATACTGGTTGTTGCCAGGATCAAACAAAGAGTCCCCAAACACAAACAAGGCCTTATGTGCTACTTCTCCATGCTTCGACTGAGCATGGCAGCTAATTGGATTAAGAAAAACACTTGCAAGTAAGAGTATTCCACAACAAAGGAAGCTCAGACTGGGCATTGGATCTCCTGTTTTAACTGGCTAGCTAAACGAAGCTCTTCAACTTTGTGTGTAGTACTGTTTGTAAATTGTAATGCTGAATAGGATCCTATAGAGTCACTTATATATACAGTTTCTGAGATGGGCCACGGAGAATTCAAAAAGTATTGGCTGATTTCGGGGTGGTGTTCTGTTCACATGGCAGTTGCCTTGAAACTGTGAGTGGAGAGAGTGTGAACATGACAAGCACACGTCTGAATTTCAGAGAATTGTGGGCATGGGGCCATAGCGTGTTGACTTGGGTCGGAGTTTGAGATGTTTCTTAAGACCAAAATTTTGTATCCATGATTGTAGAGAGATATATTAACATACTTAAAAGAGATGTACAGGTTTCTTGCATACAATGGTATGAATCGACACAATTTTTCCTTAAGCGGAAGTCTTGACAAACTAAATCATACGCATGAGTTTGAGAATTTAGATCAAACAATTAAGAAATGGTTGACTCTTGTTTAGGTTACCACTGGAATTCAACAAATTAGTCTTATGTATTACCCCATTAACTACGTCATTGCCGAATTGACACTTTGAAATCTCTTCATGAATTGTTACTATCAGAACATCAATTAAAGTTATTAATTAAATCTTTCTAAGATCTGACCTTTTTATTAGAGAATGTTATTTCTTAGCATGATTTCTCCAAAACGTGTGGGGTGGGGTCATAAATTGTCGTGTTTCCATTCATGATATCAATAGATGGAAATGTTGAAACCATAAAAATAATGTGTGCATGTTCAGCTATATATCCAATATATTAGTTTTCTACAGCTTCTTTTTTTTATCAAAAAAAAAATTGAATAATAAGTTAAATTCTCATTTTCGGATAAAAATATTGCATGTTGTGTGTTATAAGTTGTATTTGTATCACACCGTTAATTTAATAGGTTATTATGGTGTATCTATAAAGATTACAATGGCGACCGATTTTGCGAGAACTCACCTCGGGATTCTCTACAATCGACATGGACAGGGACGAATTTATTCCTCATTCCCGGGAATGGGGATAGCTGGCCCCCGACTGCCCCGATTTGATCTAATCCGCTTATATTTTACAAGAGTAATACTAGCCTTACAAAGAGGCATATAAAGAGTTATACAAAGAGCCAAATTCAGTCCTTGAAATTCATGATTATCTCTTTATCTGCCTCTTTCTCTCTCTCTTTTTCCCTTCTTTCAAAGACTGGATTTGACTCTTTGTATGGCTCTTTGTATCCCTCTTTGTAAGGCTAGAATTACTCATTTTACAATAACACCCTTATACGTTATCATAATTTTTCCCTAAACCTACTCCACGCAATGGGGATAGCTGGCCCCCGATTGCCCCGACTTGATCTAATCCGCTTATATTTTACAAGAGTAATACTAGCCTTACAAAGAGACATATAAAAAGTCATACAAAGAGTCAAATCCAATCCTTGAAATTCATGATTAGCTCTTTTTCTCTCTCTTTTTCCCTTCTTTCAAAGACTGGATTTGACTCTTTGTATGGCTCTTTATATCCCTCTTTGTAAGGCTAGAATTACTCATTTTACAATAACACCCTTATACGTTATCATAATTTTTCCCTAAACCTCCTCCACGCAATGGGGATAGCTGGCCCCCGATTGCCCCGACTTGATCTAATCCGCTTATATTTTACAAGAGTAATACTAGTCTTACAAAGAGACATATAAAGAGTCATACAAAGAGTCAAATCCAATCCTTGAAATTCATGATTACCTCTTTCTCTGCCTCTTTCTCTCTCTCTTTTTCCCTTCTTTCAAATGTTAGATTTGACTCTTTGTATGATTCTTTGTCTCCCTCTTTGTAAGGCTAGAATTACTCATTTTATAATAACACCCTTGCACGTTATCATAATTTTTCCCTAAACCTCCTCCACGCAAATCACCACCGCTCATCCACTGTAGACGACCGATGTCATTGCAACGCCGCCTATTTGTCCTCCGGTTCTCCAGATTCGCCTTTCCAATTCACATTTTTCTTCGTCTCTAGATCTTTGCCTATTTGTTCGACTTTTCAAATTCGTCTCCTTCATCTAATCGTATTCAATTCACTCTTCAGCTTCCCAATTCCTTGATTCTGGTTTTAACGTATTCCTTATGTTCCCTAAAGTTTGAAAAGTAGTTTTTAGAAATGAAAAAACTATTGTTTCTAATCCTAATTGCATTTTTTTCTGGTTTTAAGGGACGTAGGGAATGAGTCTTTTCCCCGCAGTGTGGGGACTGGGTTTGGGGGCGAGGATGGGGATGCGGATGCGGATGGAGAATGGGAAACCTAACCCCACCTTGCCTCGTTGTCATCTCTATGAATATATGTTGTTTGACTCTCCTATTAGTTTTTGGGAGTGAGTTTTACTCAAACCGTCGTTGAGTCGCTCCTCCCTTGCCATGGCTTGAGTACACAAAGCCTCACTTTTTAGTTTTTATTACGAATAATACTACATAAATAATTCTCTCTTACAAATTTTTTTTTTACAATTATGATATGATCATTTATAATTGATCAGTTTATAATAGGTCTTACATAGATTTTATATGGATCTTGTATAATTCTTACTAATTAATTGTGAATTGACTAATTATAAATTATTATATTAGAATTATAAAAAAAATTTGTGAGAAAAAATTATTGATATTTTATTATACTTTTTTATAATTGTGGCTTTCATGCATGGAAGGCTTTTGTCCTGCTGCTTAATACCATGAGGTCCCATGCAATGATGTTGACCATGACTTGGAATCAGCAC